TGAAGATGATCTCAATAAAAGATCAAAACGTTGGCACGATAAAGAAAATGTTTTTCTGAAACCTACATCAAACCCGACCGCATCTCACGATATCTGAATAACTATCGATTAACGGTCACTAACCTCTACACACATTGGAAATGGTGTTGGAAAACATTGGCTTTGGGAGCTGTCTGACTAAACTCATCAAAGGAGGCCAACATGCGCAAACAACCATCTATTGGCACAGTATGTGGAGCCAAGCCCATGGCCAGCAGGGCATGGTGCCCATCTTGGTGACCAAGGCATTGGCCTGTCATGGCCCATATTGAAGAGGTACACATTTAATAAACTCCCATGTATCAGGCAGCGCATGAAATTGAAACACTTAGAAATACATCACTATATGTCTCAGTTATTAACAGCCATAGACATTTTGCAAGAAAGCTTCGCAGCTACAATTTAGAAAATTCACCTTTGTGCACATGGATATGAAAAAACAACTGAGTGCACATGGATATGAAAAAACAACTGAGCATGTATTTTTAAGATGCACAGTCTACTCAGAATATAGAAAACAATGGCTGAATAGCATGCAAGAGCAATCTGATATAATAGACACATTGAAAAATGCTGTGTTGACAAAAATAAAATTTTTGCAACCCAGAATTGTGTATTTTCAGTAATGAAAACAAAAAGTGGCCAACTAAATAAAGTAAATTAAATGCACTAAACAGGTAATCTAGTCATTAAGCCTGTTAATATTTATTTGTTAAATTGTAAATAGTGTTAGTATTAATACATACAGGGTGTCCCAGTTCCTTCTGACGAAACGAAAGGGAATCGATTCTACTCTTCGTTTGGAGCAAAAAATGCCCAGGAGAAAATTTTCGGAAAGTTCTCTATTTTGAAGATATTCATCAATTTAGGTTTTTTCAACTTTTCACTACCTTACCACATAAAAACGCTTACAACGTCCAAAATGTTGAGACTACAACAAATCAAATTACACCATTTGAAAGAATGGCAAATTTGCTGTAAGATACTTCTATTTGCAATAATCTGAATGACATAAAATGTTGGCCAATATCAGTTGGAACATGTCAAAATTTTAAATTTTGGTCATGAATGCACGTTACATTTTTATTTTACAAAGCGAGCTCTAATTGATTTATTTCTCCCCTCCCCCCTTCGAATTTACCTTAGCTCACGTTTTCGAACATTCAATTGTTATTTTTCAACTCTACTACAACGTTATTTAAAAACCAGGATATAGCAACGTAAAGCATATTAGATGAAGAAGTTTTTGTGAAATTTGACAAGCTGTAGGTATTTTTTTGTAACCTCAGTAGAACGTGCAATCATGACCAAAATTTTAAATTTTGTAATTTTGACATGTTCCAACTGATATTGGCCAACATTTTATGTCATTCAGATTATTGCAAATAGAAATATCTTACAGCAAATTTAGCGTTCTTTCAAATGGTGTAATTGGATTTGTTGTAAACTCAACATTTTGGACGTTGTAAGCGTGTTTATGTGGTAAGGTAATGAAAAGTTGAAAAAACCTAAATTGACGAATATCTTCAAAATAGAGAACTTTCCGAAAATTTTCTCCTGGGCATTTTTTGCTCCAAACGAAGAGTAGAATCGATTCCCTGAGTTTCGTCAGAAGGAACTGGGACATGCTTAGCGGTCATAATTGACCAATTTAATTATTTCAATTAATTATACTTTTTATCTAAAGTCTTGGTTGAAATGAAAAAGTTAGTCTAACGAGTGGGATTCGAACCCAAGACCTTCGGCTCAATACGCCGCTGCTCTACCACTTGAGCAACCGTGAGTTCGGTATACGCAGGCCGGTATACGCATGATGGCCAAACAAGAAATCTCTGTAAGACTTTAAAAGGATTAGGAACAGAGGAAAAAGGGAAAAGACCTAACGGGGGATGGTCTGACAATGTTGTGGACTGTAAATGTACGACAAATAAAATTAAAAAATTGAAAATTAACTCACTCTCCGTTCGTTGTTTTTCTTCATCCACAAAGAATCCTGGGGGAACAGGGAAGGGTAGAAATTAATGAAAGGAAAAACTGGGTGGAAAACCCTTACCTCGTGGTGAAGCTTACCGACGAATTTTCGACAATCCGCGATGACAAAACGCAGGACAAGTGATAATCGCCCGAATAAGCGTAACGACAACGTAAANTTTTGGGCATGCAGACAAAGGTTGCTCGATGTGTCCTACCTAATTGAAGGGTACCTAATTGGCTCCGCCGTACAGAGATCGCACAGGAATGCCACCCGATTTGAGAATTGTTGAGAACAGCAGCGGGTATTTGGGTCCCCTGTTCCGGTTCTTGAGAATCCTGGGAGCCGACCTAGTCTTTCACGAAAATCCTAGACCCAGCTAAACAAAGCTGGCGAAATAATAACAGCTGGTGTTTACGATTGAGAATGATAGGTCGATCCTGGGCAATCGCCACGAAAATATTTACTGTTCGGTGGTGTTGCGCTGACAAGTGGTCTTATTACTCAACCTCTAGTATTAAGGAAAAGCTCAAAAACCTGGGGAAGAAAAAGGGGCAATCGGGTCACCAGGAAGCATTACTGTATTTCCTAAGCTTAACGGGTTCTCCACCTTCTCCCCGACTGATTGCCTTAAATACTTCCCTAAAGAACTAAGAGAGAAGAAGTCGAACAGTCGAAAGAGTCAAGAAATTAAGAAGGCCGGCGTAGAGAAGAGGATAAGAGTTGGGCATGAGTAGGCCAGAAGTAAGTAGGAGTCGACCAGGTGTAGACTAGCAGTCAGTAGGACCGATGCCGGTTTTGAGTTTAGTTATTATATCACTCCAGATCACAATGATTAAGATTAAAAACAAAATACGCAATAACATTGGCTGAGGTCCGGGGCCGTGAGTCGGATGACTCTATATCGATTGGAGGAACTCTGGTGCAGCAGTTGACCGAGTGGAGCGGTTTGCCTGTAGCCAAGTCGGCTATGTTGAGAAGGCGAGTTTGAGGCTAACGCTGAGAGTACCCATGCCATCGTCGTAGGTGCTTCATTAGTGATAAGCCAGAACTAGTCGGGTCGACGAATCTGCTGTCGTTGTCGATTAGTGATTGGTGAGTCCTCGTAGGGCTGACGAGTCTGAAGCCAGTAAGGCAGTGCCCCTGCTTATATACGCACTGGCTCTGCTCTGATTCGCTGCAGAGTGGAGGGCGAGACCATCCCAGAGCAGGTAGTGACACCTAACGGGTGCCGCGATAATCGTACGTTCCCACTACACTGGCATTCCAGCACTGTAAGTTCAAGATTTGTCAATCAGTTGGCGGGAGGGTTAGAGAACAGTTGGGGGGATTTCGAGGGTGCGGCCGAATCTTGAATACCTCAAGATTTAAGCCCACAGAAATAAGAGATTTGTTGGGAAGCTTGGGGTATCTATTTGTATATAAAAGTATTTATTTAATTTATAAGTAGTGTTGGTTAATTGTTTAGAATTAAGTTGTGAATTGAGTTGTAATAGGTATAGAGAATTGTTAGCTATAAGTACGGTAGGGATTTTTAAACCTCCCCCCACAGAGTTACCGGAAAGTGGTAGGCGCTTACACCGGGCAACCTGACACAGCCTAGCCAAAGGCTTGACGAGCTCAGAATTGAGAAGTTCACTGCTCACTCGGAGCACCTTCGCACTCGTGCTCACTCGAGCCGCTCACTACATTATATAATATGGGTGGAGGGTGATGGAGGAATATCACCCTAATTGAATAAAAAAGCACCCGTATGTGCTAGATGTGCAGCTTCACACAATACAAGGGACTGCAAGGAATCCACAAAAAATGCATAAATTGCTACAAGATGGGAAAAAATTATACTCACCATGCAGGCACCCGACAATGCGAAGCTCACATGAGAGCACTAATTCATCAAAAACATACAACAGATTACGGAGCAGAAGAACAAAGGTTGGTAATACAAATTTACAATGTGAACCAACTAAACCGTTATAGAAATGGCTACTACAGAATCTGCTCACAAAAAACACGAAAACGCAGCACCCTCAATAAACATACTTGTAACAGATACACAAAAAGACACATTAGACTCATTAGACACAACAGAGCAAGAATAAAAAAACACAGAAATACACAATGCATAGAACTAGTCGTATCAATCATATAGCACCGCCCATACAAATAAATGTAGCCCAGTTGAATTTTCATGGATCTTCAGTAGTACGTCCGACGAAGTACATGTGCTTGCTGAGGACCGGAGTATTGATATCGTTATGGCCCAGGAACCATGGAGGAGAGGCGTCAAAAGGGCCATGGGATTAACCACCAGAACAGCCATGACACCTGGATTTGAAAACCCAACTGCGGTAGTCTACATTTTGAATAAAAGTATAAAAGCAATGACCCTACCTGAAAGCGCTGAAGGAGTTACCAGCGTGATGATTGAGATGGGTGGCTACTCAATGCGGTCGCTTTAGTACACTGCAGCTGCTGCTTCCCTTTCCTTCGCCAAGCCATGATCTATAGAAGTAGTTGTCTCAGGCATTAAAAACTTAAAGCGTAACACTGCGCCAGGCAGCGACAAGTATTAATCGACACGATCGATGAAACGAAAGATTAATTGCAGCAAATTTACTCGGATTGCCTTAAACTTAGTTACTTTCCGCCGACATGGAAGACGGCTACCATGTGGCATTCCCCAAAGCCGGACGTCCTCCTGAGCTTCCCGGATCCTATCGTTTAATCTCCCTTCTATCGGTGTTGGGAAAGACCTTGGAAAAGCTGATGTACATGAGACTAAAAGCCTGTAACACGCTTGGCAGTTGGGCAGCAGAACGGACAGATCCACCAATGCCATCCAGTACGCTCTCCAAGTGGTGGCCGGCATCCCTGAGAAGTACGCCTTGGGATTGCTTTTCGACATCCGTAAGGTCTTCGAAAGGATGTGGTGGCCCAGAAATCATGAGCCTGTTAAAAAAACTACCTAACTGATAGATACACACACCTCGAGAATCACAGTGAGGGCTGCTTCAGGGAGGTCCGGATGGGAGAACCACAGGGGATCATTCTTGGCCCGTTCCAGTGGGAGTCCTGTTCGATGACCTCTTGAAGATCTTGGATCACAAAAACATCCGTGCCATAGCCTATGTGGATGACCTGATGGTTGACTTACCCGGTAATACCAAAGCTGAGCTGGAACGTCGAGTTAGAGCGGTGTTGGTGCTGTCAGTGTACAGAGTTGGTGCAGGTCAGTCAAGCTTGAGCTAGCGGCAGAAAAAACAGACACGATCTTATTAAAGGGTCAATTTAACATGCGGTCTCCACCCGTGATACAGATAGATGGTGTTAACATCAAAGCACCGTCAGAGGTCACACCTTGGTGACATGATGGCGAAAGGAGCTTAATTCAGTCCCAACGCAACAGCGGCTTCGCAGAAGGTCCTCCAGCGTACTGTTCTTTTCAAATCTGTAGTGGTCCGTCCTGAGGTGCGTCTTATGAAAATAGGCAAATATACTACTCCGCGTTATGCTAGTCCATCCTTCTCTACGCGGCGCCAACATGGGTGAGCTGTTTGAGAGAGGCGGACTGGCGACAACTAGAACGGGCGCAGCGTGTGGCCCTCCTTGCAGTCACGAGGGCATATAAAACCGTGTCGACAGAAGCGTTGCATGTGATTGCTGGCAATTGCCTCTAAACATCCTTGCGAAGTGGGACTTAGAAAATGACAGAACACCCGGAATGCCAGTTACTTCGGTCACCCATGGGCACTCCAACTATGGCAACAGAGATCTCTCTAGTAAAGGGAGACACACATACCGCATTTTCCCCATGTTAGCGGACCGTGTTAAGTGAGACTTCTTAGAAGTTGACCATTTTGTGTCGCAACTGCTTACCGGCCATGGGGATTTTGCTGAAAAATTGCATGGGTTTGGACAAAAAGACTCGCCTCTTGTGAGTCCGAAAGCCTTGACGTTGAACACGTCTTCTTCGGCTGTGGCATTTATGAGGATGTGCGAGTGACCTGGCTGTACGAAATTGAAGCACCAACTGCCAACTTTGAAGCACTCAGGAAAGCCTTACAAATGAAAAATGGGTTCAAAGTCTGTAAGAAATTTGTAAGGCGAGTAATGAGAAGGAAAGGTTGGCCCGCCTAGCGTTTTATATTATTTTATTTTATTATTTATTTATTTTTTTACTTCGGCACAGGAATATCACAGAATATCAACAAAAAGAACAGGAAACGAAAGTGAAAAGACATACCTCCTCCACCTGAAATCAATTGTAAAAAGCCGGCAACGGCTTAGGAACATTAATTGAAAGAAGGCCAAGACGGTTATGACTCGCTTATGACGGTACCAAAAACCAGCTTCTCATTGCAACATCGCGTTGGCGGTGGATCGGCGGGTTCACTCTTGTAAGTAATACCAACTGTCATGTTCGCAATTTCTTCCAATTGATGATGAGCGCTGAAAACAATAAATCAGTGTTTCAACAATCCAAAAGACTGAGGAGGGCTCAGCCTTCCTCGTACGTACCGACTCACTGAGCACTGTTTGGGCTATATGAGACAGGTTCTCTGTAGACCCTCTCGTCCTGCTCTTGGAAGAGATACGCGGAGCTGGAGCCTCTCTGAAAAACGGTGGTTGTTGTCTGGATTCCGGGGCACGACGGCCTGGAGGGTAACGAACGTGCGGACAAGGCGGCGAAAGTCGTCCCCTATACCGGCCCATCGCGATCAGGCTCTCTGACGCTAAGCACGCAGTGAAAACATGATAAAAAAAGATGGCAGCGTCAGTGGGAGGGGTCGTCCGAGAGGCTCTTGCCAGAAGAGCACGATCTGCAGATAACCCCCCCCCCCAGGCCTGGACCGGAAACAAGGAATAGTCCTTGTCAGATTAAGAATAGGTCATACGTGGTTGACTCATGGCCCTTGTTCGTGGGCCAACCCCTTGCCTGGGGCCTCCTATGCGGAAAAAGTTTATGTGTCCCACATAACTGAAGCGTGTCCTGCCTTGGCTCCCTATAGGGTCCGACTGGGCATGCCGCAAGATTTAAAAGGGGTCTCCGACACAGTAGCGAGTTTGAGGGTCCCCTGTTCCCCTTTTTAGGGGAATTGGTAATTTTTTATTGTATATAGCCGTTTTGTGTTTCCGTGTTTTGTATGAGTGAGTGTAGTTATTAGAGTGAATGGGGAGCTGTGTACGTGACTTGGGTGACGGCAGTATATTTATAAAAGTATCCCATCGACCCCCATTAGATTAGTTTGTTATTTTATGCAGGTCGATGGAGGACTATTGAGTACCCCATCTACCAAATAGAACGAAGGCAATAAATATGTGTGGATGCGTATTGAATGTGTGTTGTAATATTTCGTATGCGCTCGGGGCTGAAAAAAAAAAAAAAAATTGAAATGTAAAACAGACACATGTAAACTCAGCCGCAGCTACGCTAATATCATGAATCAAATTCAATATCAATAAAATACTCATAGCTCACAAAACATAATACAATTCTACATAGTCTAAATCTGGAACAATTTATCTCTCCTTTCCCTAATAATCCCGTCTATAATAATCCTGATAGGCTAGCCAAACCCAAACGACAAACCATTACCCCTTTTTTCCATTGTCGGTCCCTTTCACCTCAAAGAAGCCGACTCCTCACAGAAAAATGAATCTCTATCCATACTTCCTTCACAACTCCTTCAAAATTAAACATGTATAAACAAAAAACATTAAAATCTCACTAACACTCTCAAAAGGACACACAAAAGTGACATATCTATACAGAAAACGTTCACTTTGAGTGATACAAATACTTTGATTAAACCTAAAATTTCTATATTGTGTCCATCATAGTACAAATACATACTCATATCCTTTAAGTATTTAACAGTATGTAAACAGTCATTAATATTTGCTATATTTCCAGGGCTTTACTTTCATATAATTAACAAGATCCATTTAACATATAGCAAAGTTATTTAAGATTAAAAATATTAACGAAAACAATAAAATTTAACATATGCCCAAAATATTAAGGTGGGCTACCTTTCGTCCCGGACCTTATATCTTGCTGATATCTGGATGATTAATGCTTTGGTTTCTTTCGAAGAAAAAGTCAATATGAGTTAAGGTCGGACATGAAATTCTGACCTTCTTGCAACCCCCGACTCGCGTGTGACACGCTTCTTTTTTTTTAAAGATATAGCCAATATTTAAGTTAAGATTGATATCGTTTTATGTTTCGCGCTGGTGGCAAGCCTTCACAATTCCATGTTAAGCCCGACCGGTTCAGAGATGGAAATGTTTCTAAAGGAGCCGAAGGAGAGGATAGCGTGCAAGTTGTACAACTATTATGTGGGGCAGCGAGGGAACAGGGTTGCACCGTATTGACTAACGTCCTCAGTTCTTCTCCAGACTTCCAGCGAGAATCTAACCCGCCTCCTTAAACGTCTCGGCCGGGTTATGAGAAGAATTTGGAAAAAAAGCAAGCACAAGTGTTATGTTTAAGGGAAATCGCCTTGGCGAGAAACAACACGTCCAGCCTTGGTCCGGCCTTTTGCCCTTAAATGGGGTCTCGCGAGTGGGGTTCGCCACGCTTCGTCTTGTGGAGGGGGTAGTCGGCCAGTGGTCGACCCACAGTGGAGGATGGAGTTCCACGTCTTGTACTTCTTCTCGTTTCTTCTTTTTCACGTCCACGCCGCCAGGCCTGGAAGAAATCTAATCGTCGACATTAAAGGGCAAGGGACTTTGCTCGGAAAAGAACTGTTTATTTCTAGAACATTGAGGGCGGCTGCCTTCTTAGGTCAGTTATTGTCAACATCCGAATACTAAGTTTATTTGGCACTTATTAGCAAGATTGCATCTATTCTGAAGTTGTTTTTTTAAATAAAGTTTTAGAAATTATGATTTTTCTCTGTTACTTTTTGTTGATTGTTACCAAGCTTAATCCACAACACCCAGCCAAGAAACCGTCTTTTCAATTTCAGTATATCTTAAGAATGTATTTTCACATTGCAAAAAAGTGCACCTTTCAATGACAACAAAGCTTTAATATTTTATTTTTTAGCCTCTAGAACAGTTTTACACACAATTACTCATTACGCATTGGTACACATATATATACTTTGTGAAATATTCTCACTCTTTTGCTAAATTATTAATGCGCGAAGTTAAACAGGTGTTTTTGTAATGGACATCCGTAAACACAGAAATAATGTTTTGCGTAAAAGAACAAATTTAGCACGTCATAAGGTCTCCCCAAAAGTATAACAAGTAATAAAAAGCTCAGATTTGTCTCCCAACGGCTCACTAAAACTAATTTATGGCAGTGGGCGCTCACAGGCTTTATAAAAAGTAATAAATCGTCTACATTGAAATTTTTCAAAACTGATTCCAGACGGTATCAGCGTCTAGGAGGAACGTGTCTATTTATATACGTTCAACAAGTCTGGTCGATTTCGCAAACCTCCTAATTAAAGCTCAAAGGTGTGAAGAACGTGTAATCAACGGGTATGAATTTCAACAGCTCACTTCAAATCCGGAATACAACATCACAGTATATACATATATCGACCTTCGTGTAATTAATATATTACTCTCTTGTTATACCGCACACTTTGGATATTTTCTATTTTTTTTTTTTAGCCTACCATCCAGCCATTTTTGCATGTTTAACAAAAAGTAATGGCTTTTATTTGACATAAATACGAATTGTTAATAAGTAAAGGTAAATATGATAGTCCAGGCACAAATGATTTTTTTGTAATTGTTTTTAAATCGAAATAGAATTTGGGCTCAGCTAGATGAACAGTTTTTCATGGCTGTGAAAATAGTTCTGTAGGTTCTCTACATTGTATTATGTCTTAGTCAGATTTTCATATTTTTTTATATTGATAATTTTATTGTTTATTATTGCTTTGTTTGCAAGTTGACCATGGAATAAATTAGGAATAGGTTAAGTACGAATGACCGCTTGACCGTCGAACATTGTAAAAACTACACTTTAATACTATGTTATTTAAGATAAGTTTTTAACTAATGATTAAAACATTGTAATAATTTTTTGGCGGGATTACTCAAAAGCCTAAAGCGTCACCAAAACAATTTTTATTTACGTTTTGTTTGTCAAACTTTATTTCATTTAAATTTGGATTTGTGGACCAAAACTTGTACCAGGCTGAATGTGGCTTTAATAAGCTGCTTCCAAAGCGTCTTGTTAATCGGTGTCATTTGAGAAAATTTTTCGAAATTTTTCTTGCAGTACCATAAGCAATTCATCTAATATCAATTAAAATGATAAATACTTAAAATAGTTCTTGGGTGACGTATCTTGCCATTTAAAATAATTAAGCTTCTATTCATATCCCGCTATTCTAGCGAGTTATTTGAAAACTTTTTGGTTCATGAGAAATAACAAAAAATAAAAATTTACGTTTGTCGGGTTTTTTTCCCAGTGCCCCAATTTAAAAAAAATACGGGGTGCAACAGAAATTAAACTCATCCTATATAAAGAATGTGTACCATCTCACATGCTAAGATCACTGATATCTCTTCAAAAAGATAAAATAAGATAAATTAATTCTTTTGACTTCTAGTTTTTTTAAACAAATGTGATTTTTTTTCTAATCTATTATATATGTAATTATTTATGGCCATCAAATTCAACAGTATGTAAAATACTTGTAAATACAGGGACAAACTTTACCAGTCAATTTCACACCTCAACTTTTTTTTACAACTCTAACTTAAAAAAAAAACTTTTAATTTAATTTTTGGTAAAACAACAAATACAATCTTTCATAAACTGCTAAATTTGAAATTTGTAAAAAATTTAAATTTGCTACCTCATTGGAAAAATTAACGCAAGAGGTTGGCAAATTTCGTAAAAGCACACAACAAAAAAGACAAAAAATCAATGAAACGCATAAAAGAGACACAATAAACATCTTGAGCAACCAAATTACGGCGAATTTTTCTCTTTTTTGTGCTTTTTATTAGGTTAAAGTTGGTTTTTAGAACTTCTGTATTGTTGTTCTTTTTTTATGTATTTTGTTTGTTTCGTTTTTCTGTCTTTTTTTGCTTTTTTATTAAGTTAAAGTTCAGAAATAAATTTTGCCCAGGATTAAGTTAAGCCCATTCCCCCTGTTCATACCGTCTCCCCCTTTTCCATTGATCGTAAAATTTCTGCATTTTGGTTCGATGTAATTAAATGAAAGGGCAAACTGCTAGAAGGCTTATTAAATGAAGAAGTTTTTATGAAGTTTGCTAAGTGAATTTTCTAACGAGGTTGCAAATTTAATTTTTTTTCTAATTTTAACTATAGCAGTTTTTGAAAGAATTAGTTTTTGCTTTTTACCAAAAATTAAACTGAAATTTCTACAAGGGTGCCTTATAAAAAGAATTTTTACGCTCTTTTCAATGCTTTTTTTTTGTTTTCCACAAAAATAAATAATTCAAGAGATAGATTTACGACGAAAACAGTAGATAGTTTAAAAAAAAAACATAAAATGTTGAATATCTGCAAAAGGGTTGAGAATCGGACCATGGTTTATATGGTGTTTTTTCTTCCATTTGGGGCATAGAATGTGTTGGTAAAGTTAATGCATTGAGTAGAGCAATTAATGCTTATACATTTTAATGAAATAGTTGAAGTGTAGTTTTCCACTGAGAATCCATTGTAATTTTACCATTTCATTCCTCTCACTTCATCAGAAGTAGAGGTTTAACGAGTGCGCGTTATATTATACATTAAGCCATTTATTATATGTTATATAATAATATGTATTATACATTAAGCCAAGGTTCAATCAACAATAAGGTCCGACCAACTTCTGTAAT